TTCGAGCCCCGCGTCGGGCTCTGTGCTAACAGCTCAGAGCCTGGAGCCTGCTTCAGATTCTGTGTCTCCCTCTCTCTCTGCCCCTCCCCTGCTTGTGCTCTGTCTTTCTCCATCTCTCAAAAATAAATAAACGTTACAAAAATTTTTTTAAAGAAAAGTGCAATGTGCTGTTCCCATTGATAGTGCTGGTGCCTTTTATTTCAAATCCATCGAGATATGATTTGTTTGGAGAGAGATGGTAACCTCCTTGCAGATTAGCTTTCTATTAGGAAGAAGGATGGGGCTGAAAAATCAGAAAGACAGATCCTTTTTTTTCTGCTTTAAAGACGAATCTGAGCCCTTGTTATATTTCCTTAGCCTGGGGAAAGTTAACACGTGGTCCCTCATCCCCTCAGTTAGAGCAGAGATCTGTCCCCTTACACCATCTGTTGTTTGCATCTGTCTGGGCTGTTAGACATCAGTGTCTTTCCAGAATTACTTTAAAGTAACCTTGATCATGGAGTAAAGAGCAGGAGATTTATCTGTTAAATTAATTGCAGAATAAGTCACTGCAGATAATGTGGTGATTGAAAGGGAAGCCTGGCTGCAGAAAGTGTTTGGAGCTGAGGCCCACGTCACAGTCAGACAAGTAGGAATTGGGTTACAATTTTAAAAATTCAGGACTCAGATGGAAATGTCACTCCTTCTGTATTATTCTTGAGTTACCATGGTAAAAAAAAAAATTTAACTCCTGCATCCAAAGGTAGTGGTTTAGATAGATAAAGAACATTCTGGAAGGCTCAGGAACACTTTGGAGTCTGGATTTAAAGTTTGAACTGTCTTGATACTGTGCAGTAGGGATGACTGCCATCCTGGTTCACAGATCAGGAGACTGAGGCCTGTAGGACAGGATGGAGCTCTCATTTCAGGAAATGGTGTAGCTGGCCTATAAGTCAGGCCAGCAGGGGAGTCAGGAGCCCATTTTTTAGGCAAAGGATCCGCCCCAACCCTCTCTACTTCCTTCAACACTTCCCCACTACAGGGATAGAACAAAATGCCCTTTCCTGGCACTGGGGTCGGAGAGAAATGGGTCCATCTAGACTCCACTGCTGTGAGAGCTTGACCAAATACTTACCCTCTGCAAACCTTAGCTCTAGAACAAGGACATGAATAGCACTTTCTTCTTAAGGTTGTTGTAAAGATTCAATGACACGGTTCATGGAGACTACGGGCCCAGTACCTGGTACTCAGGAAGTGCTCAGTAAACAGGAGTGATTGTTATTGTTATTTCACCCCACATTTGGTCTCAGCAAAAGTGAATGGAGATTTCCTAATTGTAGTATCATGTTAGCACTAGAATGTGCCGCCCCTGAGAGTTGAGGCATCTTTTATATTTTACCTTTGGACACATTTGGGCGAACAAAGCAGCCAACAGCTAAGACACGTGCCTTAGTTGGGGGAAATAGAGCCAAAGCTGACTTGCTCTTCAGGCTGTGTATGAAGGTCAAAGACACCACCCACCCAACAGAAGATTCAGAGTCTCAAGAAGACCCCCAGGTTCAGACTGCACAGATGACGTGCACCCAAACGTCCCACGGAAGCTCCAAAACTGATTTACAACAAGCCCAGCCTGGAGGTTGGTAGAGGTCGTTGGGTGGAATCCTCCCTTTCTGGAAGGACCGGGTCTCCCCTTCGGACGGCCCAGTGTTTACACCTCGGGGGCTCAAGCACAGCATGGGGTCTGTCTCCCTAGACTGTGAGCAGCGCTAGGGAAGGGACGCAACCTCATTGGTCCTTGGAGCCCCTACTCCTAGCACTGCTTCCGGTGCACGGTAGGGTTTCGATGAACGTATCTTAGATAATTGAATGAATCAACAAATCGGTAAATACTTTCTGGAAGGTCTGGGTGAAAGGAGATATTTAACAAATGATTTGGCTGCCTCAGTGTCTGTAGTCACAATTGGCAAATTGGTGGCTTACGAGAGGACTTCTGTACTTCCACTTGCTCTCTTTGTTGAGCAGGTCTGGGCTGGGTCTCTGGGTCTCACCCCTGAGGGGCGAGAGAAGATTTCTAGTAGCAACGAGGAGCAGGCAGCCACAGGGAGCCCTGGAAAGTCCGGAGATGTCCTTCTTGCCTGCGTCCTGGTGCCTCACTTCCACCGCCTCCCTCAGGACAGGACCTGGGGCTCACAGAGCTCGGTTTCTCCCAAACACCCAACAAGCCATATGCCTAAGCCTGAGATCAACCGCTGGAGGAAAGGGAAGCTGTTTCGAATTCACATGAAGACGCTGTCTGCTCGCAGCCATGCACCTGCCCAGAGCAGTGCCGTCTTCCAATTGTCACGAAGGGGCTGCCCCGCCCTGTCGACTTGAATCATCTGCCAGATTTAAGCACAGTGAAAAGAAATGAGGTCTTGTGCTAACTGTTCTCAAAAGTGTGCTCCACGGAGTACTAGCTCTATGAGATGGTTTCAGGTGGCATATGAACAGAGGATTCTGTGGTCAAGAAACTCTGGGAAACTGAGTTAGAGTTTAATATATCATTTCACCGCAGAACTTCTTAGACCTTTCCATAGGTGCTTTTTTTTTTTTTTTTTTTTTTTTTTGAGAGAGAGCATGCTTGAGGGGAGGGTCAGAGAGAGAGGGAGAGAGAGAATCTCAAGCAAGCTCCATGCTGGGCATGAGGCCCAACTCAGGACTGGATCCCATGACCATGAGATCATGACTTGAGCCGAGCTCCAGAGTCAGAGGCTTAACCTAGTGAGGCTCCCAGGCGCCTTTGCACTGTGGATTTCTTTAAAAAAATTCTTTTTAGGGGCGCCCGGGTGGCTTAGTCGGTTAAGCATCCGACATTCGCTCAGGTCACGATCTCGCGGTTCGTGGGTTCGAGCCCCGCGTCGGGCTCTGTGCTGACTGCCAGCTCAGAGCCTGGAGCCTGTTTCAGTCTGTGACTCCCTCTCTCTGACCTTCCCCTGCTCACACTGTCTCTCTCTCTCTCTCCTATAAATTAAAAAAAAAATAAAAATAAAAATAAAAAAAATAAAAAAATAAAAAAATTCTTTTTAATGTTTATTTATTTTTTAGAGAGAGAGAGAGACAGAGCAGTGGGGAGAGGGACAGGGCAAGAGAGGAGACACAGAATCGGAAGCCGGCTCCAGGCTCTGAGCTGTCCGCACAGAGCCTGAGGCGGGCTGGAGCTCACGAACCGCAAGATCACGACCTAAGCCGGAGTCGGATACTTAACCGACTGAGCCCCCCAGGCAGTCCTGCACCGTGAATTTCTAAAAGACGGCTAAATAATGAGGCTTCTTAAACGTATCTGACACAGAACACTTTGTTTCCTTCAAAGCTGGTCCGATCACTTACGGAATGGACTTTTTTTGGTTGCAAGTGACAGAAACCCAACTTGTGCCAGTGAAGGCAAATGAGGACTCCAGATCTCGTGTAATCGTTGGTTGAAGAGGGCAGAGCGGGCTTGACCCCGGGACCAGCTGGAACCGAGGCCTCCATGACACCGGGACCCCTGTCCTGTGTCCCTCACCGGGCCTCTCTCTGCCAGCTGGCACTGGTCTCTCCTTACAGGCTGCCTCTCGCACAGCAGCTAGACACAGGCTGCCGGGAACCCCTGCATCATATTCTATAGAACCCACACCAGACTCCCCTCCCTCTGGTTCTGCGGGGGCGGGGGGAGGGTTCCTGCTGAGGACCTGGTGGACCCGAGTCTTGTGTGCACCCCAACATGCACGTGGGGCGTGGGGCCCTCCTGGGAAAATGAGCTGAAAGAGAACTGTTGCTTTGGGGAACACTGCTTGGGGTTTAAAAAAAACCTCTTTTTCCATTTCTGACATTTATGTTATACTTTAATGAACATTATTTAAATTGAATTAAAAAACATTTTTAATGCTTATTTTTGAGAGAGAGCGAGAGAGCAAGAGAGGGACAGAGAGAGAGACAAGGAGACACAGCATCTGAAGCAGGTTCCAGGCTCTGAGCTGTCAGCACAGAGGCCGATGTGCTTCAAACTCACCAGCTGTGAGGTCATGACCTGAGCCGAAGTTGGACGCTTAACCGACTGAGCCACCCAGGTGCCCCTAAATTGAGTTTTTGAGAACCTCGCATCTCTTTCTGTCCTGTGATTTGAAATTTGGACTGCCCTTTATTTTTTTGGATGTTGGTTTTAAAACTTGATTACCCAGCAGATGCGCTTATCGTAGAAGTGAAGGAAAAGCAATCACCTCTCAGACCGGTTAGAACCTCGGACGGGTGGCCCCAGGTTTCCAAGGGTCATCATTTTGTTGTTGTTGTTGTTCAGTGCTTTCCCCCAGGCTTCTGGCTGAATCCTGGTTCACAAAGCCAAGGGGAGGGCGAGGAGAAATATCTTCCATCTATGTGGTGCCACACACCAGGTAGGCACTTTAAGATCTTAGAGCAGACATCCTCACTTTCTCTAGGGGATCGAATGACCCCCAAAGCCTGGTACGTGTCCCCAGGCTTGGCTTCCTACTAACACGAGCATCCTGGGGTGCCTGGGTGGCTCAGTTGGTTAAGCGTCGACTCTTGATTTAGGCTCAGGTCATGATCCTGGTCACGTGGCTTCGTGAGGTGGAGCCCCACATTAGGCTTTGCGCTGACAGTACAGAGCCTGCTTGGGATTCCCTCTCTCTCTCTCTCTCTCTCTCTCTCTCGCCCTCTCTGCCCCTCCCCCACACATGCTGCCTCTTTCTCAGAGTCTCAAAATAAATGAATAAACTTAAAAAATAAGACAGTCATCCAACTCAGCTGGAATCTCGTGTGTAACCATGTCTTTCCACCCTCGGATGCGAGCAAGGGCTGTGTCTGCCGAGCCCACCATGTATCTCAGCATGTTGCTTGGTGCCAGCACGCAGGCATTGCTCAGCCAGACGATAAGGCAAAGGGACCACCTGGCACTCCAACATGCGGCCAGTGGCCAGCAGAGAAATGTGCCTGTGTCTTCAGAGACTCCTCTCTGACTTCTCCACTTTCTCTTTCTTCTGGCCCAGAAAACTCCATCAGCTCAGAGTCCAGGGTCTGTGCAACCCTCCGGGAACAATCAGAACACAGAAAGGGACGTGGAGGAGAAGTCTGGAAGCAGTGGCCGTGGAGGCTCCCACAGGTAGGAGCCAGGCTGTGGGACTGACCTGGCCCCTGCTGTGGCCAGCTCATTGCTTGCCTAGCATTTGCTTTGCTCCATTTGCTTTGGAAGATTTACCCTAAAACCCGTGACGTGGTCCTCAGTGGGGAGATGGTCAAAGCAGTGGCTCATAGACTGCTTTGTGATTGCCTTTGACCTGCATGGTTAGAGAATCAATACGTTTTTCTGCCCGATGAAACTAGCAATTATAGGCTTCCTTTCCAGCAAGACTCCAGGCTGCTTATCTTCCTCATCAGAATTTAAGAAGATCAAGGCTACAAAAGGCCTTATCAAGGATGTCCGATGTGTGGTGAGTGGGGTTCTCTATTCCAGCATGGTAGCCGGACGATGAGACAGGATTCAAAAACTAGTACTAAGATGGTCAGTACCCTCGTCCCAGGGAGGCTGGTGGATGAACTCCAGAAATTACGAAGGCCACACGGGAGCAGTGGAATGAGGCCAGTTCAGGCGTGGCCCATGGGTCAGTGGCTCTTCATTATGATCCAGAGTGGGTCCCGACTTCCCTGCCGGGGTTGATGGGAAGAAGCCCAATGGACTCTTCCCATGCAGCGTTTGTCACCCCCGGTTTTGGGAGCGTTCACAAGCAGAGGGCCAGCAGATGGGAACATTCAGTCTCCAGAAACGCCTTGGGACAGAAGCCTGGAGGCAGTTAATAACTGTCTGTGGTGGGTTCAGTGTGTGATCTGGCACAGTGCGTGACCCTCCTGAACAACTGGAGCCCAGCTTCCGGGAGGCTAGAATTACAGGTCTTGAAGCAATAAATCAACAGGAGCTCTAGCGGCCAAAATGAACAATTGAAAGGGAGACACCCCCTCTTCCCCATCAGAGGCAGCAGACAATGAAATCTGAGGTCATGAATGCTTTGCGGTATCTTTTTACCCAAGAGCTTGAGCTTTAAACTAGGGAGGGTTGTGGATGAGGAGGAGCGACCCCTGGTGGCAGGAATGTCCATGCCAGCCTGGAATTGCTTTTTGGGGGGCTCTCGCTGGGTATGGAGTTTCGAGAGGAGCCACTTCGCACCTCTTGTCCTGAACATTAGATTTCTTTAGGGAAATGGCGGGTCAGAATGTTCTTTTTTGCTAAGGGAATCACAGAATATGCCTTGAACAGCACCTCTGACGTTTTCTGCAAAAGGGTAGCCTCCTTTGCCTCCTTGATCACCATGGCTGTTCTGTTTTCACAAACTTAGTATCAGGATAACTGGACAGAGGTTTTAATATTTGGCTTTAACGAGACCAGATGACCTCTCTAAATCGGCTCTCGGTGATCGTGAAACTAACGGATAGATTCATCTTTTCCAGAATTCCACGCAAAGGAAATCCTGTAGACTGAGATCCAAGGTCCAGCTCTCCCCTCCCCTTCTTTGTGCGGTTCTGGGATCTCTCAAGAGGCTTGGGAAATATTTGGGGTCTAGGTCCCGGCAACAATGAAGAGTAACAGCAGCTCAAAGGGCTTTTATTTCTTGTTCCTCAGCTATAGTCATTTCTTATTTTTCCCTTAAAGAATTGTTTCTCACTGTCATGTGACTTGAGCATAAAAGAGGTGCCTTCTAAGAGCAAGCCCAAGGAAACCACTTCCTGTTCACAATTAGAAACATAGATTCTCCTCCATAAATGCATGATGTCTGTGGTGCAGGGCTCTGGGCTAACTAACCCACAAACCCTCAAGACGTGAGCGGGCTCCTGGAGTCATGTCATCTGTAGGGAGAGCCAGCCGCACGGGTACCGGTCCAGGGATGCACGCAGCCCTCCGCATCCACAGCGATGACAGTAATAGCATTTCGTGTTCATTTTGCAGACGGCAAAGGCTCTGTGCACACAGACAACTTTTATTTTCTTTAAATCCATTCATTTCCGGTTCTGAGTCCTCACTCTGCCAGGCTGGTGGGAATGCCCGCATCCGCCACCCTTGCAGGTCCCCTCTTCTGTCATCTGTCCCCTCACCACCCCATGGCCCGCCAGTCCAGGCCATGCCGTCCCTCAGGCCCAAGTGCTGTGCTGCTTGCATGACACTGTTGGCACCCGGGAATCCTTGATGAGGCTGGGAGCCCACCCCACCCCCCGGCCATTCCTGTTCCCGTCGGTGCTCCTCGAGCCTGAGGACACAGTCAGGGAGGGACTCGCAGACATTCGTCACTTTCTAAGACTTCCCTCTGCTCTCTTGTTTTCCTCAAATGCATTTATCTCTCCCTTTGCCACATTGGACAATCAGCATTTTCTCTTCAGAGGCGAGATGATAGGTTTTTACAAAAGACTGAAGAAGCCATTGGCCTCAGACTATGTTTTCTCATTGAAAAAAGGCCAGAGAGAAAACACAGAAAGGCCTGCAGCGGTCCCCTCTGGACCTGGAGACAAGGGAAGAATGTGGGGGAGGGGGGCATAGGTTAATAGTGCCTCACGTCCCTCTGCACGGCGTTCTCTCCACTCTACAGATGGGGAAACTGAGGCTTGGAGCCCTATGTCATCTAGGATTTAGTAACAGAAAATCCACTGTTTCTGCCTGGAGGGTCTTCTCCCCTCTGGTTTACCCAAGGATGCGGCTCATACATCCCCTAATGGTTAAGTTTTCCATCTGACTCACAGCAATTCAACTGCCTTGCTTCCCGTTGCCGCATGGTGTCGCTGTTGTCACTTCGCCCAGCGTTGGTCAAACCCCTGCAGAGGCTGGGAGGCACCTCCTGTGGGCCCCTCCCTGAGCAAGTCCCTGCCTCCTGAGGGAGGATGATCCCGTGCTCCCAGGACAAAGCCCGGTGCTCCCTCAGTCTCAGCAATGTCCACCCTCGAGCATGGCTGCCCTGGCTACCCGCGTCCAGCTCCAGCCCCACTGCCCACCATCTCACGAGCCACCCTTTCCCTCCTTGGGGACCTCCAGCCAGGGGTGGCAGCCCTTTCTTTTTAAACACTCAAACCACGATGAATCCTACCATACAGCTTTTCCCCAGGTGGTAGCGCTATGAGGTGGCACCAGAGGAAATGACTGCTTCGTAGGAAACTTGATGAGTAGGGGCGCTGTCCTATGCTCTGGCATCCCACCTGCCCATTCTTCCACGGAGGGTCACGGGCGCTAGTTCAGAGCTGACGGACTTTTCTCAGGCAGAGACCCTAAGTGAGTCCTAAGTGAGTTGCTGGCACCTTGGTCACTGACGAAGGGAGACTAGAAACTCAACAGCCTAGAGCCTTTACAAATTTTTTAAAAATTTTTATTTATTTTTGAGGGACAGAGAGAGACAGAGCACGAGCAAGGGAGAGGCAAAGAGAGAGGGAAACACAGAATCCAAAGCAGGCTCCAGGCTCCAAGCTGTGGGGCTGGAACTCACGGACCGTGAGATCATGACCTGAGCTGAAGTCAGACACTTAACCAACTGAGTCACCCTAGTTTTGTTTTTATTATTTTTTTTTTAAGTTTGTTCATTTATTTTCAGAGAGAGAGAGTGCAATTAGGGGAGGGGCGGTGAGAAGGAGAATCTGAAGCACGTTCTGCACAGTCAGCGCGGAGCCCAATGTGGGGTTCAAACTCACCAACCACGAGATCATGACCTAAGCTTAACCCACTGAGCCACGCAGGTGCCCCAGGAATCTGTGTGTTTAATAAGCATCGTAGGCAATTCTCATGAGTGGGGGAGTTTGTGAAATACTCATGTGGGTCCAACTTGGAAGTATTAAAAATACCCCATTTCCTGACCTCTCCCATGAAGAGTCTGATACGTTAGACTTGGGGATGAGACCTGAAAATCTGTTTTTAATAAGAAACCCATGCAACCTTTATGATAAAGTCTGCGCACGCTGCCCACGGTGCTACTCTCTGGCCAATAACAATGCCAACTTTCTTGTGCTTCTGTAAACTTTCAAGTTATGGCTCAGAATTTGGGGACAATTAGGATACATTAAGCCTGTGCTCTCTTCCCTCCTCTCTTCTATGTTTTTCCTTCCACCAACATCTCTTGGGGCACCATTCTGGGCCTGATGCTGTGCTGGGTGCTGGGGACACAGCTGTCAGCGGAGCCCAGGGGTCTCTCTGCCCTGGTGGGTAAGTAGGTTGCAATGAGGAAGTCAGACATTAAACAACCAAACAAAACGAAGACAGACACTTTCGGGTAATATCAGGGCTCCAAAAGACACCAAATGGGGCGCTGTGACAGACAGCAATAGACAAGGGAGTGGCTAGTTTAAATTCAATCGCGGTTCTCAAAGCAAGGTTCCAGATTGGCAGGTTCAACATACCCTACAGACTCGACAGAAAGGCGGTCCTGGGTCAGACTCTCGAGGTGAGTCCCAGTGGTCTGGGTTTACCAAAGCCCCCAGGTGATTCTGATGCACCCCAAAGTTTGATGCCACCTGACACTGAGAATCCTCACGTTTGAATCTCTGGATTCGATGGTCAGAGAAGGAGGTGATGAATGAACTGAGTCTGGAATGGCAGAAAGGAGGCAGGCATGGTGGGGGGCACCTGGGTGGCTCAGTCAGTTGAATGTCTGAGTCTTGATTTGGGCTCAGGTCATGATCTCTCGGTTCGTAGGACTGAGCCTGGTGGGGATTGAGCCAGGGCAGAGCCTGACAGTGAGGAGCCTGCTTGGGATTCCCTTTCTCCTCTCTGTCTCTCTCTGCCCCTCCCCCAATCACTGACACATGCATGGGCTCTCTCTCTCTCTCTCAAAAATAAATAAACTTAAAAAAAAAAGGAGGCAGGCATGGGAGGATCCAGGTCAAGGGACAGGCAGTGTAAAGGACATAAGGTGGGAATGAATCTGGTTTGTTAGAGACACAGAAGGAGGCTAATGAGGTAGGAAGAGGTGGGGAGGGGGGCAGGGTCCAGATTGGCCAGACTAGGGCCCTGAAGGCCATGGCAAGAAATCTAGATTTAGGTGACATGAACTGATTTATTTTTTTTTAATGTTTATTTATTTAATTTGAGGGAGAGAGGTTGGGGGAAGAGAGAGAGAGAATCCCAAGTAGGCTGCTGGG